CCCTGTGACGACTCAAGAGATAACTTAAACCGTCACCTTACATCCTTCCAAGGTGTGTATTGCCACAGCTGTATGTATTTATACTCTATAGCTGCGCGGATTATAACTTTCTCTCTCTCTCGCTCGGTGCTTATCTGATGATCCGTGGTGTACGAAAAGAACCCTTTCAAATTACGCAGCAACGCTCACATTTCCGCAGCTTGGGTGAACCGTTAATACTTGGTGTGAAATACCGTGTCGTATGTGTAAACTGAAACGGTGAACGCACTACACGTGCACACGGGCACAGCCTTCTAGGCGTGGGCGATAGAGTGGGTGCCCGGGACAAGAAGCCACACGGAGCACCACGAATCTATGAGGGATGTAAAAAAATGTGCGGATGAGAGGAAGAGAGAGAGATGCAGAGTAACACAGATGTGTGTGTGTGTATATATATAGACAAAGAGAGATAAGAGACAAATACACAGACTAGTATACTAAAGCTTGCTCTGCATTCACAAAGCAGAAGTATAGGGTCCGGGGGGAAGTGTGGAGGGAAAGAAGCGCTGTCACTCCTGGACTATGAGTAGTTACTCTGGATAGATTGTGATCTTGGCTTTGAACAAAAAAAGGGCCAAATTGCAATGTACTTCACCTGGCCGTCAATCATCAGTGCTCTAGGCTGATGCACTATTTAGACGGCTGAGCTTAAACCTGCCCACAGACTGTGGTTTCAGGAACAGGGACAATGCCAGCGGATAAATATAACTTCATACAGCATCCAAAATACTACACACATTATTAATAATACTAAATCAGTGTGCATACGAAACGAAGAGAGACACGTATGCCCTCATAACCTCGTCACTGTCATCGGCCACGATCAATCAACCGCCGTCGTCGTGATGAGCCGCCTCGCACGGGCACGCCGGCTGATTTCATTGCTCCATCTCCGTGGTGGACGTGCCCCTCTCGGCGACCTTCCCACCCTTGGCCTGCCACCCAGGGTTAGTGTTCTCGATCACCGTCCGTTCGAGTGACGTGTCCTGCCCAAGCCGACTTAATTTCCTTAACAGTTTGAGTGATTCCTTTAACCAGCATACATTCTCTAATCCACCTCTTTTTAGTCTCTCAATGCACCACCAAGCACGCATCTCTCCATACCGCTTCGTGCAACTTCTCAGTTGTTGCCCCCTTTCGCAGCCGTGCAGCTGCAAAGGTGCAACACATTCTCCAGACTAAATGTACTGCTCGGGAGGCTACCGTGGTTTAATGGCCAGAACACTGGACTTGTAATCCAGAGGTCGCTGCTTTGATCTCCTAGCACGGCAGTTGAGCAATTTTTTTCTTAAATCTCCCCAAGCTTCACATAAATTTTGAACCACCTCTACGGGGATGATTTCCACACAACTCACACTTAACTTCAAATGTAGCAATCTTTGGAAGAACGTAATCAACCAGGTAAAGGGTTAACTGTTGTATTAACCAACTCTCCGTGTTGTATTGCATTGCATTTTTAAGTTTACTAAGTTTGTTATCACAAACTTCCTATTTGTCTCTCTAAATTTTCTTACCGGGTTTGTCAAGTTCCAATTTCTCTCCTCCAGCCGCTCTCATTGACATGCTAATTTCTCTACCCCCCTCTATATAATGTCCCATCACAGAGTCGTTGTTTCTCTCTGTGTCTCTGTGTGTGTCTCTCTCTCTGCTTGTGTGTCTCTCTATGTGTCTCCTTGTCTGTGTTTTGTCTCTCTCTCTCAAATCTAGCAATCTTTGAAAGAACGTATTCAACCAGGTGGGGTGTTGACTCTTGTGTTGGCCGACTCTCTATGTTTGCATTGCATTACATTTCTAAGTTTACTAGGTTTGTTTTCTCATTCATTTGTACCTGACGATGGTTGCTCGTGTTGCAATCGAAACGTCGTATTCTATTATTATTATTTAATTTATTTCTACGTGACTTTATCAAAATAACCAATGAGACGCTCCAGACGCTTCCCCCGCAGCCCCACCCTGGCCTGAGCGATTCGTGCGCGCGTGCGCAGCGGTGAGACATGACGATGACCGTGGCCCGCACCTGTCGTGGGAACTTTAAAAAGAAAACAACAGCCCCCTTAGGTCAGAGCCGGTTTCTGAGATTACATTAAGATCGAATGGCCAGATCGAATCAGCTGTAAAGCTATTTAACCTTCCCATGCGCCAGGCGTGGCCAGCAGAGGTAATTGGAGAGAGGGGCCTGCGTGCACTGGTGTGCTCACAACACGTGCGACTGGCCACAGCTGTCACGAGGAATTTATAAAAAAACCCGTTTGCAAATCACTCTGGTGCGTCTAAATAGAGCTCTGCTTGGCGCCTGGGTTGGGCATTAATTCAAGGCTGGATCCGCGTTGAATTAGCCACTGTTTAAAACAACGAGTGGCGAGGTTTTAGACCACCAACCGAGCGAGGATTTTTCTAGAACGGCTGTCACGGCACCCCGCGATTAAACTGTGGTTTGTGGGGAATTAATGCCACAATAACTCTTGGCATCCCCACACATCCCAAACTGTAAGGCAATGCTCATTTGCGGTCAATGCAATCATAGCGATTGCATCAGCACTACCTGGGAGCAGTCTTTGTGCGCTCGTGTTTGGTTTTTCATGGAGTGACCCGGTTTCCATTGTGAGCGGAGTTCATTCTAGATTTGAAGTTCATCTCTCCCAGCTCCGGCATTGTTCGCACCAGCCGTGTTGCGTACCAGGTGGCTGATGCTCACTCAACCCCCCCCTCCCCGCCCTCTACTTCTCTCCCCCCTGGCTCCTCCCCCCCCCCCCCCCTCTTGCCTTATATAATATCCTTGTTACGAGCAGCTCTTAGCCACTACAGCAAATTACTTCTTGCTGTGACTATCCCACCTGATGACGGAGGCTTGTGTTGCTTCCGAAACGTTGCGATCTGATTAACTTTATTTTACGTTTTACTCACGTGACTTTACCGAAAGAACCAAAGAGGAGTTGAGTTCATCTACACACACTACGTGCCGCCATGAACATCTCCCACCACCATGGGAGCGTTTACGCCAATTTCTAACAAACAACAACAAACCCCCAAAACGATATTAAAATAAAATATAAATGGGATGTGAAATGACATGATGCCATCAATTTGGCATGCGTAATAAATCAGAACAGTATCAGCACTGAGATAAACCGGACATGTTCGAGTGAGCGGTCGGCTGCTTTGCTGAATGCTTTTAATCTGGCAGCTGGATCGCAATCTCTGAAAGCTAACTTCAACAAGAACTCTTCATTACAACACATTTAAGCCCATTTCCCAACAAAGTGATACTGACTTGGTAATGGAATGACAAGAAGTCCGATCGATCCCCCCCCCCCCTCCCCCAGAACAGTCGACCTCAACTCAATTTCTCAAAACCAGAACGGGAAAGGAATGAAGTTGCCGCGGAAATTTCAACCGTCGTGTAGAGGGGAAGGAGGTTACGGGCAAGAACTCGCTGGCAGAAGCACTGCCCTGAGAATCCACGCCTAATTCCACGCAAAAGCGCTGCTGTGATGTGTGTGACATCCACTTTTTGTGCGTGAATCTTGCACTTTTTTTTATTCCTTAATCGGATAAAACTTTTCAAAGGGACATTTAATATTTGAAATTATACGATTTCTTACCTTTTATTTATTTATTTATTCGTTTGTATTATTCATTCATTTGTATCTGATGTGTTATGTCTGTCACAGAAACCGTGTGTTGTTGTTATTGATGAAACCCGACTTAACAGCTTTTTACCTCACAGGGAACTTCAAAATAAACTGAACTAAACTCAAGCCACTGATTGTCAAACTATGATTGCCGTCACGAAAGCAGGTGTTTATCATTTACATTCGAAAGGATTTATGTTAAGGCACAAACACTGTAGCAAATTAAACGTCTCAAATTTTATTTTAAGGTGATCACAGGTGGCAAGTCAAGCGGCATACCAAAAACAACATTCCACCATGATGATACTTCCAGTTTCAAAGTTTAGTTGGGCCGTTGCGTGGGTGGAGTGGCTGCATGTATATTGTTCAAATGGCCATCGAGTTAATGGTCAGATTTCCAGTGGGCCTGGGTCATCCATTACTTCACGTAACATCCCCACGTAATGCCGCCGCCTGTCAGGGTTGCCCCGATGATCGGAGCAAAAAACTATCGTGAGTCTCACCGACGAGGTGGCTCAGCGGTAGATTGAGCGGCTTGGAAACGTTGCGGGTTTCATATCCTGATTTGGGGGGGTTTGACTCAGCCCACCATTCCTCTTGAGGTCGATACAAAGAAAGTACCGCTTTCCGGGGAAGTCAGTGGTGGTTGTCGTACGGAGAGACCCGCTTCTGTAATAGGTATGTGGAAATTTAACCACGAGCTCAGGGCTATACATGTGCGATGAGCACTGCCTCAATGCTTATTGAGCATGGTTGGCTACAGTATGTGCGGTGCGAAAGAAGTTCAACATGCATGTGTAGAGACAGTGCGGGTGCAGGAACAGTATGCGGCCCAATGGTCAGGAGGGGTAATTATGGAAGGGGAACCATCTGGGAAGTTCGGGAACGGGTTAGAGAGTTCGAGGCACGGAGTGAGATCCACACCGGGAATAAAAGGAGGTGAGAGGCAAGGTGCGGGGCTGCCAAGGAATCGGGGCCGACTTTGGGCCATCGCTGTCTTCACATCGTCACTGTCTTCGTGTCGTCGCTACTTCCGTGACACCCCTGGCCCAAGTTACGTGTGCATCATCCTGGCCCAAGTTATCTGCGTGAAGCGCCCTAAATAGTAAGCATCGAACATCTATAGTTCAAGTTGTCCGAGAGTCACGACACATGGATGCATACATTTCGGCTAAATAAATCATTGTGACTCCTTGGCCTTCTGGCCTCTGCTTGCTCACCCACGGGATAGGCTCACGCGATAAAAAAAAACAAATCGAATGCCCACGATATCGCCGTGGATTGTGATCCAGTTTGTGCACAACGTGGGCTTGGCTCGAAGGTACTCACAGAGAATGGAGCCCTGCAGTGTCTCGCAGTGCCTCTCTGGGCACCTCCCTCAGCTGGTTGTTCTGCAGCATTCTGGCGACGGGAATGAGAGAGAGAGAGAAGAAGAAGCTGTTAGTCCTGATTGAACAAGGGAGAAAAATCATGAACACACGCGGATTCTCGTCATGCTTTCCAATCGGCCCTCGAACGTCTTCAATTAGCGATAACAATGGTCGCTCTCGTGCCGGGCGTGCAGGAAGTAGCACACCTATAGGCCGTGATGAGACAATAGGGCTCAGCGGGGTTTTACCACGGGAGGCGCAATAAATCCTTTGATCAATGTGGCCAGTTTATTTGCAAGTGCACTAGCAATGCAACCTAATAATAAAGCGTTGCTCACATTGGGTCATCTTCAGACGGGTTTGTCATGTCCCCTTCGTTGCAGATGAATGTTCAGGCTATCTGTCACATTGTGTGTCATGGCCAGTCATAAACTATAACCAAGGACTTTACTATAAAGACACTGAGTATCTGTCATCTGGACGGTAATCACGAGTACAAGTGCCACTTTGTGGGGAAGGCAACAGTGGTTATGCTATAGACTCGCCACTGCCATAGGAATGTGGAATTTCCACCACTGGTTGAGGGCTGCAACCTGGAGATGAGCACTACCTCAATGGTATTTTGGGCCGGAACTCACTTGACAGTTTTCAAATACATTTTCTCACCACCACTATGGAAATGCCCATATACCATTGGCTGGGTGGTAATGCTATATCCGTAGGTGGATTGCTGTGCTTCTTCACGACTGTCTCTATATACTCTATAATCTAGGGTTTTCGGTTAGATCGCGTACATATAAATGTATCGTTAAACTCGCCACCAAACGACACAGCCAACTAGTAAGGTTTGTCACGCAACAGAACATGCCAATTCGTTACTAGTACAGCACACCGGTGTGTTGGAGAGCAAATCCACAAGATTTACAATCTGAGTACGACGTTTCGCTAGTAATTACAACTAGCTCCATCAGGTGACAGCCAGATTTGTGGAGAAACCCTCCTGTTTCGGTCCTTGAAAAGAGGGATAGATGTGTGACGTCACTTGTGAGCTCTTCACGTGAAGGAGGGGATTCATGAATGTGTGTAAATGGCAATGGGTATCCATTGCTGGTTGGGTTATTAATTTGGTAATCAAGGCACATTAAGTATGCATATTGTTCTTCTACCTCCTGTAATTTCCGTGAAATAAAATAGCAGTACCTGTTATTGTCTGCGTACACGTAATCCTCATTGAGGTATGGTGACTTGTACAGGCATGCATTTCAACAATTGTATTATTTGATGATTCACTTCCAAGCAGCATTAAGCCTGTAGCTATCCGAACGGTTAAACATATTTTTTTTCCCTCTCAATTTCTATAGATTCTCTAATTAGTCTTGGCCAGTAGTTCCTAGTTTTGCACAGAACTTTAACGTTATCAAAATAAATTGAGTGCCCTTGTTGGCACGCGTGTTCTGGCACTGCCGACAGTTGCGTTTGGAAGCATTTAATATTTATTTGGTGTTCTTTTAGTCTCGTGCTGATCATTCGTCTTGTTTGCTCAACAAAGCACTTGCCACAAGTGCAATTAATCCAGTACACACCCTACATACGGTGCGAAATATGTTCAACATACATGCATACACGTTGCTAAAATGCTAAATGGTTATTTTAAAACGCCATACATTTCATGTTGGTTTGAAAATTCTGTCAAAACCATGACGTCCATTGTAATAAAATGCAACTGTTTGAAATAGGCCCATTTCAGTCAGGCAAAGGATCATTCAATGCTGTAATTTAATTGAGAGTTAACGTACGTGCAGAATACTGTGCAGAAACGCAACGGTCTGGTTGTTACCCATCTGCATCCATTTGTTTTGCGCCATTCCCATCTCACGTGTGCCATCGCTTCAAGTTCTTTGGCTTCTTCTGACAAGAGTAAAATGCACATTTTCTTTGGCTTTGGTAACAGGTCGTTGGTGCGTGTCGGTAGACTCTGCACTTTGCACACCGCACGTATGGCACGCAAATGTGCTACCCCATGAAGGCCTTCGGTGCAAAAACAGCAAACTCTTAACACTGGATTACATAGAGGAAAGCCAAGGTTGTAGAATAATTAACCTGTACCAGTGCTGGTCAGCTGAATATTTGATGTTTGTTGCTTATTATGTGAAGTTGTTTGTATATATATATACAATTCATATCTGGCTGCTTAGGCAATCACCGACTTGGTAAAGATCACAATTTGTTTGCGGTCTGTTCACTCGTTCAGTTTATAAATCCTCAATGACAACTGGGAGTTAGAGTGTGCAGCCGAGACGTTGACCCAGAGAGCAATGTCAACGTCCAGAAATCGACATTACGAGCCTGAGCACACGAATGGTGGCAAATGTTAGACAGAGAAAATAAACGGTGGACAGCAACAGCTGAAAGGCCACCAAGAGGTGACACAATACTGTGCGCCCAGCTGCCATAGCAACCCTTTACAGGGTTTGATACATTGAGGATATGGTACCGTAATATGTTACTCCTGAAATGTATGTCAGGAATGTTTAACTTCTTTCGCACCGTACGTAGCCAACCGCTCTAATCGGAGCAAAGGCCAACAAAACTAAACACAAAAGGCAGTTCTAAAGGAATGAGTTTGCAATCGAGATGATGATTTAAAAGTGCATAGCTCCAGTGGCTTCCTAATATCGGAAGGAAGAGCGTTCCAGACGGCCAGCAGAGGCGCATCTGAAAGCGCGCGACACAGCCAAAAAATGAAATAAGTGCAATGTACCCTCCCCCATCTGCATGCGATGATCTGCTGCGGTCTAACCCGCTTCTCGCTCAGGCCAGACGAGTCGGAGTGCTCGCGGAGGGCAAAGCTACAATAGCCACGACACCACCGAGTTTCTGACTTCAGTGGACTTCACTGGCAACCCGGCAAATGATGCACGGGGTTCGTTACCTCGCAGAACGTGACGAACGTACGCACGGCCAGGGCTTCTGTCGTGGCCCTTTCAACCGAACAAGAATCGAGTATTATAAACGTAATAACTATCGTAAACATTGTACTGAACATAAAAAAAAATCACACATGGCAGTAGAGAAGGCGTATACAGTAATGTGCATTATGTAATTGGGCTTAATTATAATAATAAACAAATCATGGTTTCACATTGCTTTGCTTAAGGCACATTCATTTGTTCTTTGCAACCGTCTCGTATTTTAAATACCATCAATTGGAACTGTAAAGGATTTATACGAATTTCTTATTCCATTTTCAGGAGCCTTTGCTGATGTGCACTATATATAAAGATTATGCATAACGTTTGCATTAAATATAGCACATAAATACAGAATGTTAACAATGTATGTAGATTGCCAGTGATATTTGATCCCAACATGAATATAAATTACTCCTTGATTTTTTAATTACTGTAGCCATGTCAAGGGAACATTTTAATCTATTTTCAACATTTTACATCTCAGTTGCTCCACTTATTCCCCCCAAAGAATGGGTGTAAAAACACCAAACAACGCAAACTGGCCCTACAGATAACCACGAATAATTAAATATATACAGTATTTCTCACCAACACATACCGTATTGTGCATGTTATACACATCTTTGTTGAAGAAGGGTTCAATGAACAGAAGATGTAGGAATAGATGATGATGAAAAGGTATACAGTACATGTAGCACACATACTTGTCTGTCTGTCTGAACATATCGAACGTCTTGACATTGTGACTGTGGTTGTATTGGACTGCCAGGAGCAGTAATATTGTAAGCACAACTGTATCTGGTGTTCACCAATGTGGTGTATCCGAGCAGAGCACTTATTGGTCGTGAACAGGTCGCTAGGTCCATAGCACAGTGCGCTAACCACTGCAAAAGACAAAGACCCCCCCCCCCCCCCTGTATAGCCTCAACAGACTGTTGGGGCAAGTGCTGTTAGCGAGCACCTCTGGAAGGCTGACACGGCACACGAGGGGGTGGGTGGCCATCACCACGCTCAGCTGCCTTTGTTTCACGAGTGGCGACATTTACACACCGTACCAGGTACTCATTTGAGGCTAAGTCGACCTGGGTAGGCCCAGGACCGGTTCAGATAATCGTCACTGCCGTTTGCTTTGAGCGGGTATTGATCCCGAGTAGCCAGGTTCGTAGCGCAGTGCGCTAACCACCTGAGTCATCGCATTGACACGCGCAACACACACACCAAACAATCTACGGACTTTACTACAAAGGAAAAAAATGTTCGAATACGTTAACTTTGACCCGTTTGGTGTTTAATTTCTCACACATCCATAATTATATTTACGTATGGAATAACTTTTCTGCAAAGTCAACTTTTTAATGTAGTAACGGTGAAAATGAATAGTCAAGTGCCCACATTCTAGATTTGAAGCTTTCGTGACTGCAAGGATGAAGGCCACTTTTGTTGTGGCCGAAACGTCGTGATTTTTTGTTGTTTTATTTTTTAACATACGTGACTTTACCGAATTAAAACCAAAGAGTAAGTGCCCACATATTTAAACCTTTAACATCGCGTGATCTGGTGGGCTTTTCGTAAGAAAGCGAGCTCATTGTTTATTCCCTTTTCTCCATCTTGTATTCTATCTCATCTCATCTCTCTCTCTTGCTGTACGCATGGGATGCTCGCACCACGGACGGAGCACTTGCTCACCAATAAGTGACGCTCTCATTAAAAGCGTGATGCATAACAGAAGAGGCTGAAGCTTCCCAGCCACAATTTGGGATCAACTCGAGCAGCCCTAGCTCAGGGAGGATATTGCCCCCCCCCCACCACCTCCTCCGCGAGGAGGGTGGAACACCCCAATGGATTTTCTGAGCCACTTATTTAGGGTTTGCGCTGTCACCAGAGAAGCCACGGACACCCCTCGAGGCATCTATCTGTACAATGCGCACCTTGTTTGTCCGTCACGCTCTGTTTCTCGCAAACGGTACGTTGCAGGAAAAAAAAATGTATTAAGCAAAAAGTTTCTCTTGGCGAGGATATTCCTGAAAAATTGGCGCTTTTTCCCAATTTTGCCCCTGAA